TGTTCCTTTATTGGAAAGACCAATTGTATCATGTTTTAGGGGGAAGTCCAAAGCCCTATTTATAATACAGAGTACAATATGTGGACAGCATATGAGAGATTTGGCCACCCTGTTTATGTAATCCATATTATGTAATATCGCTACTTAGCTTTTGCGTTTGATTGGTCTTTTTATGACTGCAGTGTCCACTTTGAGCACGGTTGTTTTTTTCAAAATGTAACAGCGGATAAAGATGTGTCTATATATTATACAGGAACAGATAATTGCATTTGAACTTCCAATAAAGCTGATTTTGTGTTATTTTCCACACTGGTAAGTTGGTTCAGTGTTGTTTTAAGAGGGAAACAATAACTCTCTCCTTCACATTCCTTCTCTTTCCCCAGAGATAACTGTTTCTTTGGGCCATTTTAGTTTTTTTATGGCTGAGGTTCCATGACAAAAAGAAAATGTAGTTGTGCTTGTGGGAAACCATTTGTAATTGTTTCCAGGAGCCAGAATGGTTCCAGCATTTGTCTCCTCTATTATAGTGTTGAATAGTTGACGTCACTCTACACATGGACTGATGGGGTAGTTGATTGGCTTCAGGTCACTTCCAGAGTCGTGCGACAGATATGAGAAAGAGGAAGGGAGGGGAGAGAGTAAAATTAGCCTGCGTGCCTGCTTAGCATTGTGTAAAAATCAACACAAAAAAGCACTCGTAAAAAAACTCACTAAACAAAAGAGTTCCTTTTTAAAGTCTGACAATGACTTTGCATTTGCAAGATCATTGTAAATAATGGTCTTTTGTTCTACAAGTGCATTTCATTTAAGGCTTAAGTTCTGTTTTGCCATAGAAAGTTTGAGGTCGGCCTTATAATTCACTCTGCATAAACTAAAGCAGAAACTAACATGACCATGGGGTAAGAAGTGCATAACATGACCATGGGGTAAGAAGTGCATAACATGACCATGGGGTAAGAAGTGCATCTTGCAAACAAAATGTGCTTTGTCTGAAAATTGGAGAAAGGACCTAGACCTAGATACCCTGTCAGACTTGAGGAGAAGTTTGCCTCGAGTGTGTCTCCATAACCCCAAACCCCATAAGTGGTGGGAGCTGTGAGGGCTAGTCGAAAAGTTCCCCTTGGCTGCTGGAGCAGAGATAATTGGACCCAGGTTTAGCCGGAGTTTTGGTATTCACATCTCGAGCCAAGTTTTGATCTTCACAACTTCTCCCACCAGACAGCGCCTGTGTCATCAGGGTCGTCTGACTACATGACACATTTTGACTTGTTTTCTGCATGGGAGGGATCCTGACTCATTTTGGGTCAGGTGACTTTTTCACCTTAGCTCCTACATGTGTGGATTATGATGAGTAAGGTAAACACAGAGTGGCAAGTGAAAACCAATATCTGTCCAGTGACCAAAGAAACGGCAGCGTTAATGTTGGTCTACCTTTAAAATAAAAGAGCTAATGAGATGTGAGGGGTGTGACGGCAGTGCTGCAGGGTGACAGTGGAGCCTGAGGCAGAAGAAAGAGATGCCTTGTTTGTGAAGTTTTCTAAATTAATAAATGTTTGTTAAGCTTCATTTAGACTCCCAAGACACTCTCATCACACTTCTAACATCATATGGTCTTGATGTGTCAAAAACTATTTAAGTCTTCATTTAAACTATCGGATTAAAGAAATAAGTAAGCAAGATCACAAATCTGACCAGATGTTTGATGCCAGCTTTTAGAACTTGGTTTGGATGCCTTTTGTGACACATTTTGGTCAGTTCAAAAATAACATTAATGTTTGATGCACAGCCCTATTATTTACAACGGTCATAGATAAACTTTCTGCTTATTTATAACTCCATGAAAATTGGACAAATTGTGTCAGCACATCGTATATCTATCAGAAATAGAGGACAGGAGATAAAAGCTGCTATTATAGACAGACTATCATTCCTAGTTTAAACAGCCAGATTTCAAGTGTGTCTCTTTAACACAAAAGACTCAAAGAACTACAGAAAATTCAAAATGACAATTGGCCCCTCACAGCTCAAACTTCAGCTCCTAGAAGTGCAATCTGGCAAGGTGTCTGTTATTTCTCAGCCCAGAGCTAACAGTGCTCACAGACGTTTTTTTTAAGCAGCATTCTTACATTTTTTCTGGAGTTGCACAAATATCATCCGCATCAAACTGCAGTGACATGGCTGCATGTCTTTTTCACTAGAGCAAGATGATTGTAAAACTGTGAAAAGTCTTGTAGATGGAAACTCGAGAAAAGCAAGAGGGTGAGTTCATCATACATGAGGAAGCCCCTTCTTGACCTCTTCGTGGCTTGTTCGGGTCTACGCTGCACCTCTCTGAGAGCTGCTGATTGTTCTCAGCTGCTTTATAACACAGTGATGAAATATGTAGTCCCTCTGCCTCTGAGTGCGCAGGACTCTTGCTATTGGCCCAAACATGTTCTGCACACCCCTCACAGAAAGTAGTACTTCATCTGTCAACTTTGTGTGTGTGTGTGTGTGTGTGTGTGTGTGTGTGTGTGTGTGTGTGTAACGTGTCTATCGGCAGGTCGCAGGAAAGAAATACACCCTGTGGGATGACTTCCTTGTTGAGGGCAGACACGGTCAGCAGGAAATGACCCTGGGAGATCTGATCCAGTATATCAAGGTATGGCCACCTTATTCCTTTCAGCAAGGAAACATACACTCTCCTCACACCCGCTGCTACTTTGTGCATATTTTGTGCATGTTTTTTATTTATTTTTTACCCCTAAACCTGTTCACCTTCCTCCAGTGCACACAATGGCCCTTGTTTGAAATTATTGGCCACTTTACATCTTCTATTCACAACTTCAGGACTCTATTCTACCATCCTGGAAAAAGGTCAAGCTGTTTTTGAACCATTTCTTCCAATGCCTGAACAACATTTGGAACCTTTCCCTCAGTTCATACGTGTACTACTCATACATGCTCATCTGACACCAGATTCGTTTTGACACGTTAGTTTTTGAGACGTCACATAATAGTGAGTTTAAGAGGTGCTAGTAAGTGAATTTTGTTACCTTTGGACAAAGCCAGGCAGCTGATTCCCCCTGTTTCAAGTTATTGTGCTAAGTTAGCCTGCTGCTCGTGGTCGTTTCATATTTAGCAGACGGACATGAGAGTTGTACCACCAGTCCTGTAAACTAGCTCTCTGCAAGAAAGTGGATACATTTCTCAAAATGTAAAACTTTTCCTTTGAGGCCTCTACTTATCTTCATACAACCTAGATTTTATGATTCATAAGGATTGTGCTTACAGAGATAATTTAAAATATTGTGTCTGTAACAACTAAGATGCTCACTTGCACAAAATTCACACCAAAGTACAAGTCATAGATGAGAAGATAAACATGTCAGTTCCAATTCAATCTTTCGTCTAAGTCAAATTGTTGGACAAGTGATACGAATTTTCACAACATTGACAAACGTCAAGCTGTCACATAAAAACACGGAGCAAGTAATTGATTAGAAACTAGATCTGGTGATTGCACACCATAGTAACCCTGAATACAATGTACATTTATAGAAGATCTCATATCCTAGTCTGCATATCCAGTAAAGTGCGAGTAAGTACTCTCCTAATGCTCTTACATATGCAGTATGTCTTTATTATATGACATAGGCCACTTGCAGTAGAAATGCCTGAGCATATGACTCCTAACTTGTTTTTTTATGCATGCACCGTCTTGCCCCGAACAGACGTTTGATTTATTGATTCTGCTGCAGTTTGTTCTGAGGAGGCAATGGGAAAATAGATTGGCAAGTGATCATATTTGCTCCAGGTTTCGTTTAACCTTTGACTGGTTGCTTTCCCCCTGGTTTGTTTGTGGAGACACTGAAGAGCTTCCTGAACTGCTGAAATTGTTTGAGGCCACAGGTCGTCATCAGACCTTTAGCACTGCGGACTGCTGTCTTTGTAGAATTTACCTCTTTTACACTTTAACACATTGCTATGTTTGTTATATTGTACTGTGCATTTAATTGAATCCTTTCTTTGTGCAGGATGAATATAACCTCAGCATCTGTGAACTCTACTATGGAACAGCTATCTTATACAAGGGGCAAAGAGAGAGGCTCCAGCAGAGGTATGTCTAGCTAAATTTCCATATGCATTGCTACACATTGCACACAACCCTGCCACATAAACAATCACAACGAGCAGCCTCCCTTTGTTTGTTTAGAGGCTAATGGCAGGATGAGGTGTTTCCTCTGAGCCTGTGAGCAGAGAGCCTGTTGACACACTCACATGCACCACTGAACACTGACGAGTGAGACCGATCCTCATCGGGTTTCCGTCTGCTTGTTGAGGACAAGAGTTTAAGAGTAAAATTAGTACAAACCTTTTTATTCTGCATGTGAGAAGCCAAGCTGTATGGGCCTGTTCAGGGTTGCGGCACATTATAAGCCCCGGGATGTTTGAAATGAAATCAGGCGCCTTGTGCTGTGAACTCTCCACATCAAGAACTGTATCACAGCAGAATACGCACCCTTTAGGGATGTTTCGATTCCAGGAGGAGGAGGAGGAAAACTGTAATAAATCAGGTTTAATAGAAGTTTTAAAGGCAATGATGTGTACATCGAAGTTGTTGACTGTTATTGTTCTTTGCTTGATTCTTGCTGTGATGTCTTCATGTTCATCTTGAAATGGACTGTGTGTATGTCCATGTCTGTTAATGACGCTCCAGTCTCTGGGGAGCTGGTGTTGTTGTTGAGGTTAGATTGAGCTGCAGTCTGAAAGTGCTTGTCATGTGGACAGCAGGCCACACGTGACAAATGCCCTCTCCAGCAGTCACTTCCTGTGCAGTCGCCCTGCTCCTAGCTTCCTGTGTTGGGCCCGTGAGGGGGAACTTAGAACTTAAAAAGTCAGAAGCCATTCAAAATCCTTTTATTGTATAGTTGCTATTATTTTATGTTTTTGTTATTGTCAAAAATTCCCATGAAAAGACCAAAGCCAGCAGTCTGTTCTCAATACTTTCCTGACTTCCCTAACCATGGCTGTGTCCCCAAGCCCGATCCTTCCAACTGATGATGTAAATCCTTAAAAACAGGTCACAAATGTTTAGTTGCATTTTTAAGAACAAATGAAATAGTTTCTTAAAACAGCTGGGCACTGCAGTTTGGCTAAAACCTTACGTGAACAACAGTGAATAGTAAAGAGTAGTTTTGTTGGAGACTATTTTCAGCCACTGATTAATACACCTTTTGTGTGCCTCTTGAGTATTTCCAGCAGCAGAATGGTCTATCTCACAGAGGATTACGCTTTATAAAGCTTTGGATACATAAATACTTGATAGTAGGATGAATTAATTGATTAAGCTTTGACTCTTCAAGTAAATATACTGTGTATTTTTGCAGTGTTTCTGACGTGGTGAGGATGGTCACCAAGACAGACATCCCTCCGCACAAGAAGATGCTGGAGCTGACCGCCTCGTTCACTGAAGATGAGGACTGTGTGACAGTCCCAACTATCGGATACATGCTCTTGTGATGCCGCCAATACAAAGTTTCCACAGTTTCCATTGAAAATGCATCACATGGAACCCTTTCAATGTGACAAAGCAAACTTAACTCTCCTGTTACATCATATCGGTTAAAAACATCCTGCTTGTGTTGCTTTAGCTGTTGTTTACAAAGATTAATATCTGAATGATTTGTTCCAGCGTCTATCTATTTCTTCCACAAATATTTTTGAATTATTTCACTGGCATACTTTTATCATTTGTTTTTGTTATGATCCTACTTCTCTTTTTTTGATTTAACAGCAAAACCATAAACTTTGCAAACTGTAATTTCCATTTGCCAACTTTTGGTTCTCATTTACAAGTAAAATGTGTCTTTCGAGAGGTCGGACTAAGAGGTTGTGAAGATGCCAGCCAAGGCATATGGATTAGAAGATCTGGAGCTGCTGGGGCAGTACTGGCTTGGTTTCAAGGTTTAATTCAGGTCAAACTGAGCACGATGTTAAAGGAGTGCAGTCAGAACAGGCCGCTGGCACAGTAGGTACAGTGCTTTGATGGTTCGGGGGTGCTCTAGCCATCTGGACACAGCTGTCTTGTTTAAATCTCACTCCAAACACACGAGCATCCCCCCCCCCCTCCCTTCTGACATTATCACTGGAACTACTTTTAAGGGTCTTACCGCACTGTGTACTTGAGTCTGTGTTTGAAGGATGCTGTTTGTGATTCATATAATTCAATAAATGCGTCTTTGAGGAACCATTATATCTGTGTACTTCACTGACAGACTTCAGTTCCTTCACAAACATACTTTACCAATGAGCACACTGCACCAAACCTCCCATTGTAACCAGAAAAGGGTCCTGTTGAATATACTTGGTTTACAAAGCTTAAGAAACATAACTGTGTGGGTTTTTATGTTGATAGTTGTTTTATTTTTTTAAAGAAATTCAGGACAACCACCACTCCACCTGGCTTAATCTTAAATAAGGTGCTGTAAGTATCAAACAGTTAAAACTGATGGAATAGATATTCGCACACTTAGATCTACGCAGAATACAATTTATTTTAGCTTTCAGGCTTAATAAGGACCTGCTCTGATTCAGGTCCTTTAGACCGAAAGCTAAAATAAAGTGTACTCTGCATAGAATAAGTGTGCGGATATCTATTCTATCGATTCTCTTTAAGAAAAAAGATTCTACCCCCAACTACTAACTGTGAGCTTAAAAGGTGTCAAGAAATATTGCGTTGATGAAAACAGCAGACACCTTTCGCCCCTATAATATCACAACGGCACATGAAAGATTGAGAAGACGCTTAAAATGTGTAAAACTCAATGATGCATGGCTACAATAACAATAATATTTCAGGCAGGAACAGAAAACTTTCATTAAATCCCCCAAAAAAAACTTTTATTCCAGATGTATCAACATTGTGGACAAAATCCAATTATGAAAATAGAACAATTTTATTCTAATTTGTGTTTATGATCAGTCTGGAGCTACAGCGTCACTTAAATGTATCCAATAATGTCATTGCATATGATGGGTTGTCGGCTGCCTGTCTTCATTAGAGCAGTGAACTGGTAGAAGTCAGCGTCCGGTTGATGAAGGCCTGTGTGGGACTGGTGAAAGAAGGGTTTCAGAGCCTGGAGTCCCACTGGACAGGACATCCGTTTGGGAGCCTCTGCAGCCCTGCTGAGCCTTGTGAAGTCTGCGGGCCTCTGCCTCACCTCCACACTTTTAGACATTCCTGCCAATCTCCGCCGCATGTTGATCAAAATGTCTTTGGCAAGGCGACGGCCCACATTGGGCTTTGGTTCTGCTGGCTCAGGACACTCTGGTAGGTCCATCCAGTTCTTTATTAGGTCAGCAAAGCTGTTGTCCCCAAGAACCAGAGGCTGTCTGTTTCTGCTGCGGCTCAGCAGCGATGTTGTCCAGTCCTCTGGGTTACTGGCCTCAAATGAGGTCCAGCGCTCCAGGCAAGCGTCCGAGGTGGATTTGGGCCGGATTCGGCCAGAAGGTCCTCTGTTGGTGCGGAGGCAGGCGGAGGAGGAGACTCGCACATTCCTGGTCCTCCTTAGCACCACACCTTCATCTTGCCAAGAGGCCTCAGAGTAACCCGAGTCAAAGTCCAGACTCTTTTCACTGCTTGGGGAGCCTTGTGTCAAACGCTCATGCTGCTGATGCTCTTCCTCTTCTTCCAGGGGGCTGGCCAGGCAGCAGGCAGAGTCATACGTGCTGGCTTCACTGGCGTCAGAAACACGTAGACGATTGAGTCGCTCTTGCTGTGCCTTCTGTTTGCAGAGCCGTGTCACAGCGAAAGACCGAGCACATGGTTCACTCAGTGGCCTAGGCCTGCTTATCTGCTTCAGGTCCTGCAAGGATCTCATCATGCACTGCATTTGGTCCCGGAGGCAGTCAGCAGAATCTCCTAAACAAAGCTAAAAGAAAGACCCAAAGAATCAGTGGGGCAGGCAGAATTTATATAAAGTCAACTCGTCTAAACAAAAAGCTTTGTTCGACTTTTGCAAGAGGCGACAGAGCAGTTAGGCTGGCTTCCAAAATATCCCATCATGCCCTGGCTGGTCTAAACACAGTTGCCTCTTTTATTTCTATAACTGGGCCAATAAGATTTTTACCAGCTGAGATCACTCTGCTCTATGACCATATAACAAGTGAAGCATTCCTGTAAAACCTCAGAGCAGCTTTATGGAGACCATCCCATGCAGTATGATCCCAGAAAATGAAAAAGTCGTGGCTCGGAGAACAGGATGCACATTTTACACTGGGACAAACTCTCCCTGCCTCCTGAAGCATGTTGACTGGACTGTATTATAAAGTAGGAAATGACGGCAACATGTTGGAATTACGGAATTATAATGTTTCAATCATTTTCCAGCCTTCAGATAAAGTGAAATCAATGCAGTCCACTTGACGCAACATTTCTTTATATTGTTCCATCCAAACCATTCCTGTGGCAGGAAGCAGACACTCCTAAAAATCCTCAAAAAATTAGTAGCTCAACCTTTTTTGTTGTCGTACAAGTTCTTATAATATTTAGTATGTTGAACCACCCTGTCCTGTCAGTGTTTGGCTTGGAGATGTAGGGACACCACAATGCCATGATGTTGTCACAGCTGTGGGTGCTGAACCATTTGGCCCCTGGGGGGGGACTTATCTGACATACAGAGACATCCTCAGTGGGACTCTGTGGTCGGTCTGCACCTCTTAAAATGCCCTGTTCTCCTTGGCTGCCTTCACACAACGAGGAGAGGTGATTCACCCAGTTGTATGCATTTGGTAAGGACAGTTTGGTTTGAATTGACTGTGACTTTGAGGATTGAAACATTCTTGCTTTCATAAAAAGAACAGTCATCAGAGGAACAACTTTAAGAGTCAGTACAAAATGTACGCTGCTTGCGCAAAAAACGCTTCTGCTAAGGGTCCTGAGCAACGGCCTTTGCAATCTCACAATCAAATCACTGCATGCATCTACAAAACTGTGGATATATATTAAAGCACGTGGATAAAACTTACCATCGCTTGTGAGGAAATGTCTGCAGTGAAGTTCAAAATCCTGTAAATTGTTCCTGCAACCAAAAACAATGCATTAGATAAATGGTGGGCGTTTTTCACAATTATTACACTTACACGTTTAGTCATTTATTAAAAGGCGAACAACACTCACCTTTGCATTTGATTCGGAGTTAATGCCAGCACAATCCACAACTGCACACATTTACAGTAAATCAGAGGTGGTTTGTCGCTCTGTTAATTCCTCATCTGAACTGGTTGAAGGTCCGTCGGCGGACTTTAACGACGCGGAGCTTTTCGCTGCAGCAAATCAGCGCAGGGCATCACAAAACCAGCCAATAGCAAGTCGCCTGAAACTAGATACCTCCCTGTGTAATTACAGCGGGTCCTACTGTAACTTTGTCGGGTTTCTCTGTGGTGACTCTACATCTGGAGTTGGCTGAAAAGACAATTTTTCATTTACACTAAACAGAACATTTTAAAACGCTTTTCATTCAACCATTTAAACAGATACTATTAAGTATTCCAAATCACTGGCATTGATTGTATTTAATATTTTACGTTTAAGACCACCGCTTAATTTTAATTTTACAATGCTGTGAAGGCCAACGTTAATGCAGAAAATGAAACGCCACTTCTGTAAAAAAATGTCTTTGCTGATAAGTCTCTGTATGCATGTGCATACATATGTGATTTATTAAAATCGACATACTGCCACCTAGTGGATCCTTTTAGACAAGCCCTCTCAGTTTAACATTCCTCATATAGTCTTTGAATAAACCCTTATCTTTTGTTAAAATATGAGCAATGCATAAGTCCTTTCTCCATTGTTCTCTTAAGTTGGTGTTTAGAAATACAAACATGGTGTTGGGCTTGCAGTTCTCTTTTCATTTGACCATACTCAACAGCACTGTGTCTGTGGTAGAGACCTTCAGGTTTATGTGATCCACAATCTCCCAGGACCTGAAGTGGGCCTCCAACATCGACACCATCTCAATTAAGGCCCCACAGATGTTGTACTTCCCGTGGCAGCTCAGGAAGTTCAACCTGCCTCAGGAGCTGCTGATCCTGTTCTACTCGGCTATCATCCAGTCTGTTCTCTGCTCTTCCATCACTGTGTGGTTTGGATCGGCCACCAAACAGGACAGGAACAGACTGCAATGGAGTGTCAGGTCTGCAGAAAAAAATCATTGGTTCCAGCCTGCCCTCCATCCTGGACATGTACACCTCCAGAGTCAGGAAACAGGCAGGAAACATCACTGCAGACCCTTCACACCCTGGACACAAGCTGTTCCACCTCCTCCCCTCTGGTAGGTGCTACAGCTCTGTATGCCAAAACCACCAGACACAGGAACAGCTTCTTTCCACTGGCCATCACTCTGATGAACAATTAATCAGACATACTGCATCTTCATTTGCACTATTACCACCATTCTGCACTAAAATCCATTGTCCATCGTCATTGTTGTTGTTCTTTATGTTCATATATATTCTTCGATATATATTTATATTGTACATAGCAGTTAAATGTTAAATGTTTATGCTTAGTTTATCTGTTCTAATCTGTTGCCTTTAATGTCCTTGTTTTTATATTTTTCTTGTTTATTCTATGTATGTACGTTGAGAGCAATGTGAAAACCGGAGTCAAATTCCATGAATGCTTACGCATCCATGGCCAATAAAGCCAATTCTGATTTATGTGAAACTTGGGATCCAGCACCTGCCTCAGTTCCATGAATAACAGTCAGACTTTGTGGTCAATTGTATCATATTAAAAAACGGGAGAATTAAAAAAGAAATAACAGACATGTTCACAATAGTTGTAGCCTATGAACTGCCTCAAGAAGACCCAAACACACACACAATATATATTTTTTAAGAATAAGCCTTTTCATCTAACGTTGACGTGAGACAAAAAAACATTTCTGCCATTAGTAATTCATGAGCCTAACATTTTTGGACTTTGTGCTTCTCACTTTAAATTGCTGGTGCAATCGTGTCCCTTTCAGAAGCTTTGTAATCCAGCATGGAACAAGTGTTTTTTTCATTAAACTAATAAATCCAACAACTGTCTCTATTAGTAATTAAAGTAATAAATGTACAAATATACATGAAAAAAGATGTTTATAACAGGATTGTGGATGACATTGTCATACATGTATTATTACAACAGGAGACCAGGCATACCAAAAAAAGGCTTATACCTAAACTAGCTTTTCAATTGAGTAATTGAAAAGTAAAATTGAAAAGTAAAATGAAACTATGGAAATTGGAATGGTGTTTGTATCTTATTTTTTTTTCATTATTTCTATTAATTTATCTCATATACTTTTTATATTTTAAGTTGTACAAATGGAGAATGAACGGAAAGTATGGAAATGACAAAGAAAATGTAAAACTGAAAACGTCAACATTTTTTATACAATCTTTAAAAGTGGTAACAATCTAATACAGTATAGAGGACCTTCAAGTTGCTAGTTAACATTGGAGATACATTTAGAAATCTCGAGCTCCAAAGGATTAATTGAGGTAAAATTTAGTTTTTGACATATGTCCAAAAGTATTAAAAAAGTGGAAGTTTATTTTTGCTAACTTTGTTACATATTAACATAAGAAATGTATTTTAAACCTCACTTGACACATTTCTTTACTTCAAAACTTTTGTTTTTGAACAGTTTCTTAATCAATGCGATGGCCTGAGCTGTGCATTAATTACACGTCATTTACACTGTGTGAAATTACCACCTATGACAAGTGTGTATGTTTAAAGCCTCTAGGTTCCATATATATATAATACAGTAAATACATATTTTGATATTTGATGGGTAGGGTGGATATCAGGGCACTATTAGTGCAAATTTAATTATACCCAAGCAATAGGTGAAAAAGCTTATAAGCTCACGTATATCAAAAATCGGACTCTGAAAAGTAACCACTAACTATATCTTTTTAAAATAAACAGTGTAGTAAAATATATTTCCCTCTAGTGGAGTAGAAGTAGCATAAAATGGAAACACTCAAGAACCTTTAAAACTATACTTACAATACTTCAGTATATATACAGTTACTTTCCGCCAATGACTGAATGGCACAAAAGATTTACGAATCACCCATTTACCTTAAAGAAATAAAACAATAGACCTCTGAGGTTCAGTTTCTACCATATCGTCCTCTTTCTATATTCTTTTTTGGTAGAGTTTTGGTCCAAACACAGCGGATCAGAAGAGTATGTGTTTTATGCATTTTCCTTTGACACATCACACTGTAAAATAAAAGATCATGCGAGTAAACTTTTATTTACATTTAACAAGTGAATTACTATTATCTTAACATTAGTGACTGACTATCATCCATTTGTCTCTGTGTTGTGATGCAACTTAAATCATTATGTGAACTGCAGTGGAGTATAAATAGCCCTAATTCACACTATGGAGATGGCATGTCTCTAAAGAACAAGTGTAAACAGATATCAAGGCACAAACATGTAAAAAGACTTGGAATGGAACAAATACCACAAAACAATACATGTTAGGAACAGACATAAGCACTTACAAATCTTGCAGATTTCTTAAAAGTGACACATAAGCATTTCTGTTTTATTTCTTCAAAGAAGTTACTTAGGAATGTTATTCAGTTTGTGGAGGGTACAAGCTAATCTATGGACGGTCATGCAGGACAATGCAATATAATACATCTGTGAATATTGATTCTGTGTAAACATTGTACAAAAAAACACTTTCCCTTTATCCATCTCGTTCTCATGCTTGTTTGTTTTCTTCCAAAAATAAGCTCTAGGGTCAAAAGGTTCATAAAATGCCAACATTAGTTAACAGAAGTTAATGTTATAAAAAGTTGTTTTTGTACTGTATCTTCTTACTAAACTGCAAAAGCAAATGAAGTCAAATGAAAACCAAAAACAACCCGAGAGCTCTGTAGAGATAAATACAGTGTACAAGTGGTTCTCAAATTGGTTCTTGAAGGCCTTTTGAGGATGAAAAATATTTTTATTTTTCTGAATTTTCATTTGCCAAGTTGCATGATAAGAAAATGGCTTATTATAATGATGTTTTCCTCTTCCAACAATTATCTTCCACTTGTATAATATTACTTGGGTTACAAATGTAATTTACAAACCAGTAAGGGGTCCTTGGTCAAATGTATATTTACAGGCACTCAGTATGAATAGTATGAGAACACCAAGACCAGTAAGAAATGTATATATAAAAGGAATATGAACACAACTGATTGAGGGCATGGACGAGATGGAGTTCACGGAGGCTGAGAGCAACATGAATGACCTGGTGTCCGAGTACCAGCAGTACCAGGAGGCCACTGCTGAGGAAGAGGGGGAGTTTGAAGAGGAGGGTGAAGAGGACATGGCCTAGACGCCTACCATGACCTAAAGGTCTTTAAGGTTTCCCCTTTAGGAATCAAGTCTGTTATGGTTTTCATTATGAAAAGCAGTAATCATCATATGGCTGTTGCAGTCTCTCATGCAGTCTGTGTGCGTCAGGCATTGCCCTGCATGAACAGAAAAACAACAGAAAAGCACCATTACACAAATACAATAAAAAGAAAATGAGAGAAGAGCTTTTATTTCACTGTTTTAATAAACAGACTTAAATTGATGTTGACTAATTTATCCTGTTTTGGTTTGACTTGCTACCCCAACACATTTTATTCATTTAGCACGAATTTATAAAATCTCAAATTTGAAAAGGTGAGTGAAACCAGCACAACCAAAGTTAGCTACTTTGTTTCTGATTATAAAAGTTGTGCTTAAAGAACCAAACACCGTGAGTACGTAGCTCCACACAGTGTTTCTTAGTTGTTCCAGTTCCAATAAACAAGCTGAATAACAGTTGGTGCATTTAGTCATTTTAACAGATTTAAAGCTGCTAAAAGTGAGAAAACTCACTTTTAGGATGCCAATCATCTGTGATTGCATTAGGACTGCTACTACCAACTACATTCATTATTGATTAATCGGGCAGTTTTTCTTGATATATTGATTATTTGTCATTGTTTATAATATTTGCTTGTTTCCTATGGAACCAACAGTTCAAAGCACAAAGATATTCAGGTTATTGTGAAAAGGGGAAAAAAAGAAGAAAATAAAAACCCACCATTCAGGAAGCTGGAGGTTGTTTTTTTTGCATTTTTGCTTAAAAATTCCTAAAAGAATGAATCAATTATCAAATTGTTACCAATTAATCTTCTATTGAACGACTACGTGATAAGTTGACGATGCATCTAGGCTCCGAGCCACCTAAATTGTCTAAAGCTGTTCCATAATATTTTATATTTCATCGTCCCGCTGTCCTACCTTTAGAAAAGACCACAGTCTTTTAGGTTGTTCTTAATAATGACGTCAGTGACGGCGTCAAAGACAAACTGCACGTTCTTGGTGTCAGTGGCACAGGTGAAGTGGGTGTAGATCTCCTTGGTGTCCTTTTTCTTGTTCAGGTCCTCAAACTTGGTCTGAATGTAACTTGCTGCTTCATCAAACTTGTTGGCTCCTGGGAAGCAACATTTCGGAAGGATGAGGAAGTGATTTGTTATTAAGATGACAGAGTACTTTTTCTTGTGTTGTGATTTGTTAGTAAGTCAACAACCTTTAACTATTAAAAGCACTGTGTACCTGTGTATTCTGGAAAGCAGATGGTAAGGGGGCTGCGAGTAATCTTCTCCTCAAAGAGGTCCTTCTTGTTGAGGAAGAGGATGATGGAGGTCTCAGTGAACCACTTGTTGTTACAGATGGAGTCAAACAGCTTCATGCTCTCATGCATTCGATTCTAAAAAAGGAGCAAAGTCGGTCATGGCTGAAGTACAACAATGTATCAGAGCTGCCACCAGGGGACAATGTTGTTTAACATTGTAAATGTGAGAAATATCCAGTGCAGAGCATCTTTTGGCCAGGTCTCTCCTTAAATTCAGAAGCAGTTAGAAAAATGTGGGTAAAATGATTCAAGTCACTTGAAAAACTGCTTTTATTGTTGGAATGCTGTTAAGTTTTTACATTTTTTGGACCTCTTCTTCTTCTTCTTCTTCATTTTTTAAGCTACAGAAACTGTTCAACTATCAAAATGTTCAGATCTTTCAGCAGAGGGGTGCTGTGACTTTTAATATTTATAACCTTTAAACTTTTTGAATTAAGCTTTTTGCAACTTTTTTTTGAATGGGATGTCTATGGAGAATATTTTCAAATCCTCTTAAACTTCTTCAACTTTCAAATCCTTCTACTTGCTCATACTTTCAGCTACAGACACCATTTCAACTTTCAAATGTTGAGAAAACCCTGAGCTATTGCAGAATGATTCTTTTGATATCTTTTAAACTTTTTGAACTGCAGCAATTTAACTTTTATGATTTTTTCAGTCCTTTTCTGACTTTATAATGGGTGTGTATTGCGCAGCTTAGAGTGTGTGATGTCACTGCGTCCACAATCTTCACTCTTCATGCATAATTTCTGGATTTAAAAGTAGCTAATATTGTCCTTGTCATAGACAAATGACTGTGGAATCCCACAGATTGACACATTTGGCACAGAAGCCTGTAATTGAGAGGAAAACCAACTTTCTGCTCCATAGAGACCAATGTTAAATTTTGCTTCAAAAACATCTTCCACGGAACACGGTATCCCATTTCTAGATCGCCAGTTCAGCCACATTTCTTACACTACAGACACAATTTTTACAGGATCTGTTTCTCAACTCATCCTTCCTCACATTTATTAATATCGGAGCAATAGGAGCTACGGTTATGGGAGTTTTGAGGATTTGTTTGAGAGGCGTTTCCCTGTATTATCTCCATGAAAAGGCTGCAAGGACACAGGTGTTTCTGATTCAGCTAATTAGTGATGTTGATAAACACACAGACTCAGACACACACGCACTCCTCTCTGTCTCATACAGTCATTCAGGTTCTTAGAGATCTTTAGAGGATCTCCCCCCCCCCCCCCACACACCCCATTTTAAAATAAAAGCCCCACAGAATCAATTCTAACTGAAATGCTTGTGATGAAGCCTGCCATTTAAAGTCACTACACTTACTTTACTTACTTTTCTTAGTGCCATGACTACACCCTCCCATACAGTAGGTGGCGGTATGCAGTTGTGGTTTGTTTGTGAACCAATAAAGACACAGCTAAAGAAGAAGACTAATCAACGCATCAATTGGATACATCCTGAGCTCAATAGGCTTCGGCTAACGACAACAACTCCTTTGAATAGGGAAAAGCGGATAACTAATCAATCACTTAAGACATTTCTTTATTAATATTATGAACTCACTACAGAAGCCCCCGTTGTTCCAGGCTGGATTATAGAGCTTCTAAGAGGGACACGCACCTGGGACCTGGAGTCCTGGTTGGAAAACTACAACGGTGAAGGAGCGCGTGGTAAAGTCAAAGACATGGCTTTGAGAAATGTTACTTGTAACCTCTTATGTACAGTCTATGCTTGTATGCGTCCATGCTGATCACAACTGTCTATTAGTATGGGATTTACATATTCTAGGCAAAAGAATAATGTTAGTTTCTGATAATATGTGCTTGGTATGTCTAATAATCTTGTTTATATTTGGAAACCAGACTGTATTTAATGATTTCTCATTTTTCGGTTTGTATTGCCTGTTTTAAAATGATTTCAACAGGTAAAAAGGACTGGGTGGACTACCATCTGTCTGATATAACTGATTAAATAAATCAAGTTATTTTGAGACATAAATAACCTTATTATGAAATGACCACATGGTCAAGTATAATTCTGTATACTCCTGTGACTTCAATAAATGAAAAGCACTGAGTGTTTTCTCTTTTTTGTTAACTTAAAAGCAAAATGAATACAACGGTCTCAAGTGAAATTATAGAAAGGAAAAAATATATGGTCCTGGCCAAGGGGACAGCAGAACAAATCAAAAACAGCTGATAAATGCATTTTACAGGACAGGTGGCAACATTAAGGCCCATCATGATGATTTAGTCTAAATCTACTGCATGTTAATCGTATGGACTACATAACCTCACTGATAATTATATCATTGGTTATAGTAACTGAGGTTAGCTTTAGTTTAGAGCAGTGGTCCCCAACCACTGGGCCGCGGACCGGTACCGGGCCGCACAGGAAGAATACATATATTATTTCCATTTTATTGATTATCAGTGTCTGAAAGAAGTTTTATTTTGAAAAATGACCGGATTCTCTTGCAATTTCATCCGCCTGTGTCTCTGACACATGTCAAGACGCTTGTCTCAGTCACGTGATACTTTACCTCAAAAATTAAGCCCGCAAACTAGCAAAAATGAATAAATAACTTTTGGAGAGCTTCTTTGCAAAGGGTGAAAGGCCACTAAGGAGACAGAAGAAGAGCCGACAACTTCCAAGAAAATGAAAGCTTCATTTAACAGACAATATCAGGAGTCTGATTAAACATGAGTAATTCTGACGCGCCAATCCCGCTCTGTATATGTGGCGACAAAGGAAGATCAGCTGCTGGAGATTGTAAATGACGGTGGCCTTAAAAGTATGTTTGAGACAACAACTCTGCTGGTGTTTTGGATTGAAATCAAGGCTGAATATCATGAGATCGCCACTAAAGCACTGAAAACCCTGCTTCCATTTCACACATCCTCTTTGTGGACAGGGGGGGGGGCAATCACTTTTTCACACAGGGCCATGTAGGTTTGGATTTTTTTTCCCCTTATTAATAAAAACCTTCATTTAAAAACTGCATTTTGTGTTTACTTGTGTTATCTTTGTCTAATATTTAAATTTGTTTGATCTGAAACATTTAAGTGTGACAAACATGCAAAAAAATAAGAAATCAGGAAGGGGGCAAACACTTTCACACAACTGTAAGTGATACAGCCCAGTTGTGCATTTTCATTCGGATGGTGTTTACAGATATGACTGCAAAAGAAGAGCTGTTAACAATACTGCCCATGAAAGAACACACTCGGGGAGAGGACATTTTTCAGTCTTTCAAAAACTTTATCGACAAAAACCCAGCTCCCAGTTTGCAAATTGATGTCAATCACCACGGACGGTGCGCCCACAATGGTTGGCCGCTCGAATGGATTTATTGCCAAGTGCAGGGAGGACGATGCTATCCCCGACTTCCTTAATTACCACTGCATAATACACCAACAAGCATTATGCGCTAAAATGCTAAACATGAAAGAGATAATGGATGTGGCAACGAAGATCGCCTGTTCCGTGCACATCTGGACAAGGCTGACTGCGACCACTATGAGATGGCTTAGTAGGGGGAAATTCCTGCAGAGATTTCGAGAGCTCTGTCCGGAGATAAAGGAGTTTCTCCTTGTCGTTAAACATGCAGAATACAACCAACTAAATGACGATCAGTGGCTGCTGGACTTGGCATTTTTAACCGACTCATGGACAGTTTTGGAACTTACTCACAGAGGAAAAGTACCCAAACATGAGGAAATGTGCTACCTTCCTGACTGCATTATTCGACTCTATACATATTTATGCGAGTCAGCCTTTTCCTACATGAAGAACATAAGGCCAAACACCGTTCCACCATAACCGATGATCATTTGGAAGTCTGCTTGAGGCGGGCTACCAGCAGCTACTGTCCGGACTAGGCAACTCTGGCCAATTCCATTCAGTGCAAGTCATCAGAGTAAGGTAATGACCAAAAATGTACAGAATTGTATTGTGCCATAAGGGTTCATGCAGTTATGCAAGGTACGCCAACATATATTGTAAATATAAAGTATACTCAGTATATAAATTAATAGATATTTAGCATTTGGTAGATCATTTTGACTTGGTCATTTTAAAAGTAGCTCGTAAGCCGAAAAAGTGTGGGCACCCCTGATCTAGATCTTCAATCTGCCCTTACTGTCTTCAACAACTCCACAGAAGACACCTGGAAAGCTCTGAGGCTCTGAGGCAGGCCACGGCCAAACCACTGGTCATAGCATCTGCACAGTCAGCATGCTGCGTCTGACGACAAAGCATGGCGCTAATTATTTCAAAAGTGATTTCATTCGACTGTGGTCAGGCTTCCTGGGGGGGCTCCCCACCCATCTTAGTTATGCTGGGATGGTGAACTTCTATGGTTTCTATGGATCATTGTTATATCTGGACACTGGTCTTGCCTCTAACGTAGTTGTGACATATGCAAGAGTAATTTCCCTGGTTATCCTGATCGTGAACTGTCGGGGAGAGACAGTCACGTATCTCCTGAGTACTGACTTTCTCGAGAGAGACAGTCGGCGAGAGTCCTGCACGGTGACATGTCGCTGTGTTGGGCTGCTGTTTCAGTAGTATCAAAAAGGGGATGGCCAGTCTTCAAATCATGTGCCAACACGATTATTCATTAATTTTAGGGACATCTTTTTATTGCACTTTCACGTTTAAATGAACAAGAACACTGCTTTTCCACTTCCATTGTTGTGCTACATTCTGGCTAATGCATCAGGCACAGTGCATCTCGTAGAAGGAAAATATAAATAAAATAGTATCAACACTTTTCACCCAAAATTAAATCAACAGAGCACTGCTTTCACTTCCATGTTGTGCTACATTCCAGCTAATGTACGTCTTTGCATCAAAATAAAACTTATACAGGGAGAGTGTCAAACATTATGATTATGTCCCCTCTCTCCCCCACCCAGCCCCACCCTTTCAAAATAAAAGCCCCATGGATTAACTGTATTTAAACATTAAGCTCAAAATTAGGCTTTTTTTGTTGAAATAATGAATGCTCTTACTAATACTGCGACAACTACTACTACTACTGCTGCTAATATTTCTGGTATTACTACTACAACTTTTGCTGTTGCTACCATTACTGCTGCTATTACTGCTACCATCAATATTATTACTACCACTACTGCTATTACTACCACTACTACTGCTATTCATGCTACTACCAGTACCAATACTACTACTGCTACCATCAATATTATTACTACCACTACTACTATTACTTGTACTACAACTGCTACTACTACTACTACTGCTGCTATTCATGCCACTACCAGTAGTAATACTACTACAGCTATTAGTACGACTGCTACTAGTACTACTACTACTGCTACTTCAAATACTGCCATTACTATTACTACTACTACTACTACTGCTATATTAAATACCACGACCACTACTACAGCTATTACTACTACTTCTTCTAAATACTAATACTTCTACTACTAATGATACTTCTACTACAACTTCTACTACTACTATTACAAATATCACTACTGCTACTACTTATTCTAATACTACCAATACTTCTATTAATAATACTTCTACTACAACTACAACTTCTAGTACTACTACTACAAATATCACTACTTCTGACATTTTTTAAGCCACAGAAACCGTTCAAATATCAAAATGTGCAGCTCTTTCAGGAGAGGGGTGAAATGACTTTGGATATTTGTAATCTTTAAATTCTTTGAAATATTAAGCTATTTGCAATTTTCTTTTGAATGGGATGTCTATGGAGAAAATCTTCAAATCCTGTTAAACTTCAACTTTCAAAGCCTTCTTCCTCATACTTTCAGCTACAGACACCATAGTGAGACATTTCAACTAGAAGGGTTTTCAGCAGTGCAGTTTAAATGCTTTCAGGCTTCAACATTTTTCAGACGGGTAGTCTCCCATTTCTTAATTTTCAGCAATTCTTTTACAATTTATTTCAGCTTTCAGCATTCCAACGCATTTTCAGCAGGAAATGCATTTTCTAGTTACATAATTACACTCCAATGGTTCAACTGTAAATGGATCATTAAAGTCCACTGAGAAAATTTCACCACTCACTATCATTGAGCTATAATAAGAGGAAGGATGGGTGATTTTAAATGCCTTGTAATGCCTTACAGTCTAAACTATCTCGTACCGCAAATGAGCCAAATAGCAGCTTTATCAAGCTAGTAAAGTTGTATCATCCATGAAGATGAAGACACGCATGCTAGAAGGGGGATTTTTCCTTACCATCTCCTCATCCTCAGCCAGCACCAGGTCATAAGCACTCAGTGCAACACAAAAAATAATGGCTGTAACTCCTTCAAAACAGTGGATCCACTTCTTTCTCTCGGAGCGTTGGCCTCCAACATCAAACATTCTGCAACGGGGATGAAGCAAAGGAGATACATTGTATGTGGAGGAAGGAGATCACAATGAAATACAGTAAGGTGAAGCCGATAGGGAACGGGGTATTGAAGAGGGCCGTTCAGAAAGGACGACAGTGAAGAGGGAAGAAAATAGCAAGTTAAGAGCGACACTATCCGTGCATGTACACGTTTTGATGAGGCTTCTTTAAAAACCAATGCGGTGAAGAGGTGGAGAGACATCCGTCAGATATCTGATGAAAGACGACAGGCGTCAATGTGGGGCTACGAGAGGCAGGCCGGCCTCTATATTACCTGTAGTGATGCCAGGGTCCCGGGACGGATGATGTCCCTCTGAGGCAAATTTGTGATTTTGGGCTTTACAAAGTAAATTGAATTGCAAATTGAATATATGCAGAGCAAAGCCCTGGCTTATGGGGAAGCTGAGCACTGATCAAAGAGCAACGGTAGTCCACCATATCCATTAGCTGTATCATATTTGAATGATACAAAGGGCCATTTGCAGTGTTTAGGTTAGCAGACGCACTGAAAAATCTAAATTAAGTCAATGTGAAAAGATTTCCTTTCCATACTTGTTATGGCAAACAGGACAGAATTATAAAAACGTGACTTTCTTCTCATTGATTGCCTCCATGTATTATTCAGGCCAAATATTGAGGCTGTGACAGAAGGTAAATATCAGAGAGTTTATCAAGAAACAGGTCACACCAGAACCACGTGGCTGACTTTTATAATCCAGATCCGTTTAGCTGCTTTGCAAAATGTATTTTACACTTCTAAAAAAAAAAAAAAACAACAAAAACAACTGTGATCTTTGCACTTTTATATGACATTGTTTGTGTATTCAACTAAACACTATACCAGACTTGGATCTGCTTCAGTATAGGTCCCGTTGTAAAATATTGAAACGCTTACTGTATCTCTAGCACATCCTCTATCAAGAGATATATCTATACATCCATCATTATCCTACACGAGTGCTCAGACTGGGTCAGAGCATATTTTATGTAAGACCTAAAGTGCTGTAACATGGAGGACATGTTCAAATGTTCGATCTGTAGAGCTTTGGTTTCATTGAGCGAGAGCACAGTGGGAAGGATCTAATATATATACACTCAGCATTCAGTTCAATCATGATAATTATTAAGCTTTTAGTTGCTGTTATAATTTGGCTTCTAGGTGGCTGAGTTGCACATTTCAAGTCAGGAGAGTCAGTTGCCCTTTGATGCTATTAATGTTGAGAACAAAATATAATCTAGCAACCTGTTTAAAGCAGGTGTGGAGGAGGCTTGTATGGTGATGTCACTGCTGAAATAGACTTATTCAATAACAATTTTTTTAAAGTATGATGACATACCCGCATTTACTTATATATCCAAGTTGGGTTTTGCCTTGCTGCTCTCCCAAAATAGCACCAAGGACAGTTATATTTTATTCAGTATCCGTCATGTTTCATGTGCTCTTGTATGGCTGGTAAGACAAACTGACAACTGGCAGTTTCTTTAATGTACCACCAAATCCCACTACAAGCATCAGAGAAGAGTGAGCACTGTGGGCTATACTACCCCCGAGGTTTGTTCATGTCAAATACACCCTCTCACTTTGGGTGAGTTGCTAAGAGTTCCCTGGGCTATCACATTGGCTATTTTTGATAAAAAGGGAGACTGTGTGAGAGAGGAGATAGCTGTGTAATTTCAGTGTATTTATTTATTTTTTTGTTTCCAAAGTATCTGAAGTCCATTAACATTGAAATCAGGTCAGTGCTTTATGGCCTTACTTGAAGTGCAGTTCCTTGAAAGTGAAGTGAGTCTCCACAATGCCAGTGGTCTTAACCCGAGTTCGCAGCACATCTTGCTGGGAAGGAATGTAATCTGCTTTAGCTATCCTCTCCAGGTCATTTAGGTAACTAAGAACAAGAGAGAGAGAAAGAAAGAGGGAGGGAGGGGGAGAGAGAGAGAGATGATGTCATGGTTAGCGATTTGAGAGTGAACATGATTTGCAACCTGCAAGGGAGAGAGAGAGAGAAAACATAAGTCATAGTCTGCATTTTACTTAACTGCCTTGAACTGCTGAACTCTACTGTAGCAGTTTGGTGAGTCATGTTCTGCTGCATTCAATAATAGACTAGGAATTTAAGATTCAGGTTACCCTGTTCATATTGTACATTGTTTCCATATTGTTATTATTAAAGTATTGTTTAACCATGTCGGGACAGTTATTGAACAGTGGCTATGGTTATGTTGCTGGGACTTTACACATTAACGAATTCCCATGGTTGTAGTAAAGCGTGGCTAACTATAGCACAGGTACAGAAAGCAACTCTGTCGTAAAGGGACAACCTGCAACATAGTTAAACCAGTAATACCAGTAGCATACCATTGTTAATCCTAAATGGAGTGAGGCCTGTAAATTGGAACAGGCAACTGGAGCATGCAACAGATGACTTCACATTGATTAAAACATTTTGTAAATGTATGTAATCAAGCAGTCTATTCAAACTTCTAGTGGCCTGCCCATTGTCACATGCTACTGCTAGCGCTCGTTGCTTTCATAAGTAAGCTCACTAGCCGGACCAATTCTGACACTTCAGGACAGGTTTGTGGATGAAATGTTGGTGCTGCTGTTCCCCCAAAGCTCCGACAGACATTCCGCATCACCATTTGTTACATCAGCTATTGGCCTTAAACATGCACTTCTAATTGGAAGCTTTCCTGTCCTGTTGATAGCAGCTTGGGAACCATAGCCTCACTTCCAAAATATCTTGAGTGTCCTACTCCGTAAGTTTAAATATGCTGCTGGAAATTATTATACACTGCACAGCTGTCCTATAGCCTGCTGCAGCATATCTGGTGTTTTTTCTGTTTCAATTTATTTATCTCACTATACAATTTTATCTCCTGTAATAGATGCAGGTAGTATCTGGTGTAAAGCTCTGTATCTAATACAGTGTCTCTGCTTGATGTATGCTTGCGGGGACTCGTTTCATTTCATATATTAGTGAAAAAAAGAGATAACTTTTCCTTCCTACTGTGATTTGATTAAAACAATCTTAAAAAATTCAATAAGACTCCAAATTGTCCATCAGATTTGCCTCTTAAAAGTAAGATAATGGGGTGTCAGTTACTTGAAAGAGCAGTGTTGCAAACATGTTGAAAACAACATCACACAAAGTTAAATTTCTCACAGAGGAAAAAGACATCAAGTTGTCTCCATTCATAACTCGTTTCACTCTCATATCTGTTTTTGCCCTTCTTGTCTGGTCAGTAGGAGAGTGTGGAAGCATCTTCGCCATGCTCTACACAACCTACTCCACTTACACAAGCATTGCATCATCATCCAAGGCCAGCTGGGAGCTTTAGTGGCCCAGCCAACCCTCGCTTCACAGACAGAAAGAAAGATATATATACACACGGCATTTCAGTTGTACAGATCTCATTGTACCACAGATAATAAATAACGAGCCAACAAAACCTCATACTTATTGATATATATTATAACTATCTCATACTTTTCTTAGAGACTAATCTAGGTCTCTGCAAATCTTTCATCTCTGAAGACAAACTATTTTGTTCTCTGTTTATTACATTACAGTATGAAAGTATCAACCTCAGAGAGGTAGAGATACTCACTAAATGAAGGTTATTGGACTATCTTTCTAGTCTCTATAGCTCCCAAGGGAAGCAGTGCATATGAGAGCGGCTGAAAGGACTGCAATATTATAGCCATCACAACGCCAAGAGAGCAACATCCCTAACGGCATGGGTATTAAACAGCCCTTTGTATGAGAGGAACATGGAATTAATCAGCACAACAATGAACCAAATACAAACAAACACCCAAACCTTTATCAGTGTCACTTTCTTGAGCTGTTTATACTCCTTTTAAAATAAAATTTAAGTGCAGTGTTTCAGTTGCAGAAGATGTATACAAGATGAGAAAAAGAGCAGATTTGACGGGTAGCTGCGAGGTTTCCAAATTGGCTACATTTACATTTATAATGGTGAAACACAGAGGAGGGTATGCAGGGACAACGTTGTTAATGACAGCCTGAATGTTATAAAAGGGATATTAAAAATGAGTCAAGCAGGCCGGTGCATGTCTAGAAGGCATTACTACGTTTAAGTTATTTTAGAAAAAAGCATTCAAATGTATTTGATTGCTAAGCGGCATCACAGTATAAAATACACATACAAATTCACACTCACTATGCTGCAGAGTCGTTGAGTTGGTATTCTCGCGACCGTGTAAAGCAAATCTGTATGCCGCTGTCCCCCCACAATCGCCTGATCACGTTGGACAGATCATCAGGAAAGAGGCCCTGTTCTTCAGCAGCTGCAGACAAGGCGAAAAGCTGCTGCGCATCGTCCTGCAGGGGGCGACAAGGACACAAGACAGGACTGTTACAATGGGGGCATCACTGCCAAGACAAACTGTACATGAAAACTGTTACATCATCGCAATCCACTGTATAGATTTGGGTGTGGACTGAAACGATAATAATGGATCATTAAAACACTTGCATGCCCATTGGATACTTTAGAAGATACCAACTTTATTTGTCTAACACAGACTGCTGAAGCCTCATATTACCTTTGGCTCTACTTTAAATGCATTTTTGGAGTGAGCAATGACTGTCAATTTTGTCCCTTATATATTTTATTGAAATTTCTTTCACAAGGCATTTTTTTTGCAGCCAGTATAGACAGGAGTAACAACTACAGCGTAGTTCAGTAATATTTTAAGGCAAACTTGTGAACCTATCCATTAAAGACACAATTAATTAAGTTTTGAACTATGTAAATTGAAAACAGTAAACGTAGAATAAGTGAATAATATCTGTGATCTACATTGGAGCAAATCGGTTAGACTAGATCTGTTAAAGCGAAAAATAAAGCAAATACAGCTCTTCAAAAACAAACACACTTTCTCAACCATTCGTAGTTGGATGAATGCTAAATAAATAATGTGTGGTCATAGAGGGCCGTGTCTCTAAACTACTGCCAAGGAAGCAACTGTTATGATAGCAGTAGCAAAATAAGTTGAAGATGAAATGAGTGAAACCTAGAAGCTGATGGCAGCCACTAGGGGCTGAGCACATGCAAGATATGTTGGTGTGACTCAAGGTAACCGCATGCGGGGCAGCTATGACACATCATGCTTTTTAAATTTGCCTCTTTGCTTCATTCTCTCAATTCTCCATCTTCTTGTTGGCATGGAATTTAAAATATTCTGAAACCCTTTTTTCACAAAGAGTGACATGAATAAAATACAAAAAGCAATAATGAATCACAGATGAAGGGTTTTGGTCAGTTTCTGACTGCAGGAGGGGCTGTTTCCTTGAATATGTATGTAGTTATCATGAACATGAAAAATGATTCACAATGAAGAATACATTTCACAATTGTTACCGTCTGTGTATTTGTCACATTTGAGGAAAAAAAAAAAAAAAATGGATTTTGGTCTTAAGCTCCACTATTGGATCATAAGTTACTGGAACTCTGCTTCCTCCCTCAACCAAACTAAAAAGCAAATAGTGTGGTTAATGTGTGCACGTTGAGGTTTCGTTTACAAGTGTTTTTGTGTGCATTTACATGCATGTGTGCACTCATGCACAATCTGTGTGCGATTGCCATTGTGTACTTCTACAGGGCTGCAGTGTGCAAGCACAGGCAGGCTATCGCACTAATTGCCATGTGTGGGAGTCGGTGAGAGTGTTGTCACGTACATACAGCTATTCGACAGATCTGTCAGACGTAAAAAAGCTCTAATGACCACAGCAGAGTCCTCGATCCTTTTATTGCAGCTCCAGTTACAGCACACATGAGCTGGTCTCACTGCAAAATCACACCGACACACACTCCTCCACAGGAATGAGTTCAGCCACCGTTAGACCTCACTGACAGCTTGCTCATAGGCTGCTAAGTGTTCACAGGGTGGAGAAGACTTGATGGTGGTGCGTGTGTCTTCTTGCATGTGTTCTATAAGAGTTTATTAAATGCAATGATGAAATTGTGAATGTGTGTTAATTAGAGCTGCCCTTAATTATTCTCGTTATTGGTCAATGAAATTGTTTTGATGAATGGATTAAGCATATAATGTAATATAATAATCACATTAAATGTGCAATCCAAAGATAGGCAACAGTACAATGTCCCAAAGATATAAATTATAATCATACGAGTCAAAGAAAATAATCATATCGGTAAAAGAAAAAAAGTGAAACACTGGGTTTGATTTAAAACATAGGTACACAAAAGCAGGCAGATTTATCAGCAGCTAACTAGTTAAGCTAACTTTAGCTTCATGAGTTGGTGGAAACATTATCTAGCTGACTTTTCAAGCTGACTCGTTTTACAACAAGAATCCTGTAAAAACTGTCCTTTAATACGTACTTAATGGCTACATAGATGATATGGCGCTAAAGGACTTTCTTAATAAGGAAAAATGTAAGGCAATGCTTAAAGTGGCAATCTTAATATATCAGTCCTGGTTGGTTTAAAATGTCTATTTAAATGAAAAAGGAAGTGCTTAAAGTTGAGCAGTCTGGAGTCTTTTTTGTTGATACATGACCATCACGTTGTCAGAAGTGTGTGCTTACTGCTTAGTTACATCTTTTATGTTTATACAACATTTTTTTCTGATAATGTTGCCGAAGCCACCCAGTTTGTAATATATATATGCAAATATATAAATATTGCAATACTTCATCAGTGGGCCACATGATCAATCACCATCGTGTTAACTCCTTCCGTGTCAGATCTGTCACTTAACAGATATTTATTTAAATGAAAAGCTTCCAGATTGCCACTGTAACAGTGTATTGTTGGTGGGCCTTTTTCTATTTAGGTACACTGTTAACACACAAACTAATGCAGCTTAGTTGATAAATGATTTGCTCCTAGGCCTTGGAAATAATGCTTGGTTACTACTGTAGGTAGAAACAGCCAAAATTTGCTAACATTTGCATCTTATATTGTAGCAAATAAAAAAATAAAAAATGTTTAATACATTCCAATTCCACATTTTTGTTTTTGAAAGGCCGAAAAGACATTGCCATTAAACACTGCTTCAACATGTGGAAAAATCCAAAGCTTGACTGGCCTGATTTGCCTGGTTAGAGTTGCTAGAGTTGGACAATCACTGTTCGGGGGATGGTCAATTGAGATTGGGGATGTAATGTTAATCCAGACAAAAAGGAGAAACAGACATTCAAAAAAGACATAAAATGATGAATCAGTTGTTTTAAAGCACAGAAACATTTCTGTTACACAGAAAGACATTCCTTGGCCACCTGCAAAGTTTTCATTTTACAGGCAGACAGTAGCCTTGAAAACAAGAAACTCATTTGTGTCATTGCTGAGGTTGCAAAGAGCACCTGGCAAACTAGATGTGCTGTTAAAATGTGTGGTGCCAGCACTTTCAAATAAATCAAATCCCCAAAACAGCCCTCAGTGCCGCTGCCTCTGCTGGCATTAAGTACACTTGCAGCTTTTTCTTTCTCTCTCCATTTCAACTTTAAGGAGAAAACAGATCAAAGATGGAGGAGGTGAAGTCTGTAAGACAAGGATCACTTCCCCGCTAGCTACAAAGATGGATCAGAGAAGCACTGTACTGTGTTCTAGTTTCTAATACCAAGAGCAATTTTAGAGCTCAAAATAAGCTATTAACAGGTGAATGTTGGAAATCATGTGATGCAACATTTGGTTTGGCACAGCTTACCAGTGTGATTGACTGAATAAGAATGGCAGAGAAGAGGCATGAGAACAAACCTCTTTTACCAGATGCATCACAGTCTTGTAATATTCTTTCTTTGCTTTGTTTACATTGCAATATGAATAAGTAAGGGAGTAAAATGTTTGTTTCAGAGATAATGGGCAACTGAGTTTTCTTCCATAATTATTCTGAAACAGGGAGAAAAGTGAGAGGGACATGGTGTGTTTGTAGAAGCAAAAGGCAAACTCTTGTGATATCACTTCTGGGCAAGCATGAGTCTTGAGGGGTGCAACTGATATACAACTACAAGATGCTGTTGATAAAACAGGCTTTTTGTTTGCTGCGGCCTGAGGGAGATCCTGATCCGTCTGTGCTTAGTAAAGCCAACAAAATTCTGCATTCTCACACAACGCTTTCTGCTCTCACCCTTATAAAACCAAGGATTTTCAACAATTATCTCTTCATATTTGCAACAAATATGCAACTGGTATTTTATACGATTTTTAAAAGGATGAAAATAAAGAATAATAATACATTATTAATAAATTTAGTAGATATGCGGAAATTTCATGTCATACAAATACAATCTTTTGAGTATCTGTATGCTTGTGTGTCTTACCAATCTGCCAGGGCTGCTGTAGTCTATCTTGAGACTGGCCATGGCTTTAACAATGGCCATAATGGACTGGATGGTATTACTATAAACTACTGCTCGGTACTGCTTGCACTCATCTTCTGAGTAGCCATCTTCATGGATGATCCTGAGAATGAAAAAAAAATATGCAACATCTATTAAAGTGTATATTGAAGGATGTGTTTATTCAAGTCTGTCCTTTGTCTCATTGTAAACACACTAAAACAAACAGTAATGCTGAGAGATACCGTGTGGTAGCAGTGTAACAATCATCTGTGGGTTCATCACTACGAGCAGCCCTATTCACAGACATGTCGTCATTTGATCCATTGCTAAAGTAAAATCATTGATTGTATCAGTTTTAAATGCAAAATAGTTTGCTGACAAGTGGGTAGCCGTTTTTGCCACATTGAAATTAAAGTTTCACAGCAGTTTAACTAATTATCAGTGAGTAAATTTCAGCAACATTCCTAAAAACCATCAATCATTAAGTTGAACATAAAAAATGTCTACCGTTATAAATCAAGTAACGCATGAAGAGTAATAACATTGGGGTGTCCAGAATTTGACGCTGACAAGTGGCTTTTTTTTTGTCTGCATACAATTGCTACCTCGTCTACCAGGAAGCATATACTGTACAGTCTGCACCTCAATTATCATGTCAGCATGCTGTGAAGGATGATGCGTAGCAGTGCGGTTCACACACAGTGAAACTCTGCAGTATCCAGCTGATGCAGTATCCTGAGATTACCTCTTGTAATGTTATTGTTCAGAACCTGAGAGATAGGGAACTAAGTGTCTGTGCAACCCATCATGAGATGCAATCATCCAGACTTCATCAGGCTGCAGAGGAAAGTGCAGAGAGAGTTTACCGAGATGACCTCACATTAATTCTAAAGTAAAACTCCCGACTGCTTTTAACAGTGTGTTGATGCGTATGATAAGGAACAGTAGTCATTTTTAAGCCGTTTTATGAAAATGGTTGCGTTTTCCTAACTTGCTCTCATGTAACGTCATGTTGACACGGGATACATCACTGTGTAATGTTACATAATGGGCCAGTGTTTCTGTCTTGTGGGCTGATTTCTCTGTATGCCTGTACGTGTTAATAACCTGGCTTCAAAAAGGGACAGACTGCTCCTGCTCCAAGCTCATACAAAATGGATTCAATGGCTGGCTAGCCCAGAGGAATGTGAATAATTAAGCAATTTAGGGTCCTGTGGGTGCATGTGCATATATGTGTGTGTGTGTTCTGATTGGTGCACAGACATTACAACATCCTCTGTATTCACAAACTCTTCATACTACTCTTGTGCTATGAGAAGTAAAAGACAGAAACAAACAGTAGAGGCAATGCTCTCCCCTAGAAACCACAAAGGAGGAAGTCTTATTTATTGTATCCAACAATGGCTTTGTGGTTATTGCAAATTATTGAGCTATAATTTCTGATTTAATATGGTCAGTGCCCGAGTCGCTAAGCCAAACGCAGAAGATAAGATTAGTGAGGTACTGCAACTTTTACATTGAGCAGAATCTCATCAGGTGGAAGCGTATGTTCTTGTTTGCAGCTCTGCTGAGTAGCTGGCTTGTCACGATTTAACATGATTCACAATGATTATTCTACCTTTAGCTTATTTCTAATATATATTATTACTCATCAAGAGACCATAAGGCGAGTCTGTGGCATGTGTCACCATCACCGTAGCCAGGTTTCACAATGGAAACACTCGTTTAAAAAAAAAGGTACATAATCCATTTCTGGGTTTAACAGAAGGCCCAAATATAAAGTAAGATAAAGATTGTTTTTGTAACTTACTTCATCTGCTTTACAATGGTGCTCTTCCCAGATTCCCCAGCACCTGTTGGAGCATTAAAAGATTAGAGTTACAAAGGAACGTCAAGTGCCGGTTGCTGTTGTCTTTCTGTGCGTCTGTGGAATAGGGTTGAACTTTGGCTTCAGAAACCTGAAATGATCATCCAGTTTATAAAAATCCAGGAATATGTGATGAAAATGGTGGGAAATTATGGAAAGTATTTACAGTCAATGGACTGAAATCACTAGTATGAATGGATGACACACGCAAGACAAGTCCTAGTTCCGTGGACTGAAAATAAAGAATTAATGACACATTAAAATGAAAAATTACCAGCATTTGATAAGAGTTTTTTGTTTCTTAGCAAATAAACCTATACCTAATAAACAGTCGTTATCTTGTTGAAATGTATAAGCCCAACTTTTTGGCACGTTTCTTCTGCTTTTAAGACCATGCCACCATTTACTGTCCCTTGACGCCACCTGACCCAGCCTGCCAACAAACATTAGCCCAGCCCGGAGCTGACAGAGCAAGTGGGACCAGCACTGCTGTCAACATTTATCAAATTCACGCAGAGGAAAGGGAGGGGTGTAAAAGCAATGTCTGGGGTTGCATTTGCTGTCGTATGAGCCACCACTCATAATTTGCTGAGAGGTAGCTGGTAGTTAAATATCAGGGGATTTGACTCTGACAAAAAGTACACAACAACCCGACACACACAGAACAAGATTTAACTGCACACAAATAACAGAATATATGGTTACATATATTTTTTCTGGTAAATTGTTTCATGTTCATCTCTTTGATCTTTTTCTTGTCCCAACATACCCGAGTGAATCCTGAGGTAGAAGCTTTTCAATCTTAAAGCAAATCAAGATTAAATGATGAAACTAGGCTTCTCTTCATTCACCAGCCCAATTCTAGGACCACAATGTTTTATCACGGGGCAAGTCTCTTCTTTTAGACTGCCATTTACTTTCATTTGGATTATCAAAGTTGACTTTTATAAAGATACAACAATTTAGCAAAAACACAGCATCAGATTTATAAGCACTTCTTCTAATAAAAGGTGGGTGGTGTAAAGTGGAATATTAGTCTCTCTGCAGACACACACATGTGTGAAGGTCAACTTACTGACTCCAGAATAAAAGTCATCCATTAATATTTCAAGCCCAAAGGCAGGTGAACATTTGTGAGCAGCAGTGAAAAATGAGTGCACCCTCTTTCTTCATGCTCAGGGTGTGTTAGGAGAAACGGGCAGTGTTGTTGTTCTGCTTGTGGGGAGAACTTTTGAACAACCTTTTGATTTCACAGTATCAGGTTATTTTGTCACAGCAACCAGAGGGCAGTAAACAGTGCCAGGGCGGTATTGGTCATAAATCATTATAAAAAACAAACAATATGAATCCTTTGTCTGTGTTACAGTGAAAAACAAAAAGTAGTAGAGCCTAACCAACATACGTTTTGGTCCATGATACTGTACTTGGACCATAGACTGTATATAAGAAGTAGACGTAGTCGTTGTGACGTTAACCATTTGTTTGTGGACCGATTGCCTCGAGTTCGGCATTTTGGCCATGGCCATCTTGGGTTTTTTGCCACCAGTGAACAGAAGTGACCATATTTGGATGGCCAAGGAATGATGTAGAGACGCCGTATACAGCTCTGGTAGCGGTAGCAACCTGTCAATCACAAGGCAGCCCCTCCCTAAAGCATACCCTCCTCTATGGTCTATTTTAGTCTAAATTAGACCATAATTTACAAAATGAACATCAAGCTGTATTGAAAAAGACTTGAAACTAGCGATTGAGACCATAAACTCATGTTCATAATTTGTGCATGGGTAATTTTCTCATAGACTTCCATACAATCAGACGTATTGTTGCTACCAGAGGAGGTTCCCCCTGATCTCCAGTAGAGATAATGCATATTGAAGGCTTTAAGGCTTCACTTTTCAGAACTGGAGGCTGCTGCCGGACTTGGACACTAGTGGAGGAAAATTGTGATTTTGGGCTGTACAAACTAATTGAATTGAATCAGTGAACAGCTACTCAGCAGAGAGCATACAACGATAGTGCTAAAAACATTCAGATCAGTTATTATGAATAAGTCTGCAGAATATTCTAAGTGAATAGATGTATCCACCGTACATGAAGCCCTGTACCTCCACGGTGTTGGAGCTGCAATGAGGACTGATTGGTATTACAAAGACCCCTCTGTGTGCTGTGCTGGCAGGGGGGACAAGCGCTTTCTTTTTAGTGTCGTTGCGGCAGACCCAGAATCACTTTCTGGCAAGGAGAAGAAGACGCCCTCTTTCTGCTTCTTCAATCCCAACTATTCATACTAGCTCCTGAATTGGTTCTCAGTAAGCGCCAGAACACAGCATTGATAACAACAAGATTTAAGGATCAACATGAAAAACGCATCCAGTACTCTCGCATGCCCACTCAAATCAATGACAACTTGGGCACGGTCGCAGTTACCCACTGGTGATGACACAAAGCCTTCATTCATGGACCGATAAGATATCCAAAAACTTGGCAAACACATAAACATCCACACAGAATCTCACGGCAGATAAGGTCGATCACCTGTCAACTAGTCCACGCATGCCAATCTACATCTCAGCTGTAAACGTTGGGCAGTGAATCGGGTTGGTGTTTTCTCTGTTGTAGTGCTGAAACAATTTGATAACCAAGTTGACAGAAAATTTACAGCCACAATTTTGATAATCCAGTAATAAGTATTAATTTATTTATCAGGCAAAACAATGTGAGGAATTGCAGCTTCATTGAAAATCAAAAATATTTGGGGTTTCAGACTATTTGCAATTTGAAAAGGACACCTTGTGTTCTGGGGAACTGTGTTGGACATTTTTTGATCAATTCTGACATCTCATTGTCAAGTAATTAATTGTAAAAAATAATCAACATGTCAATAAGTGATAATCGAGTGTAGCTCGCAGGGCACAGATCCTCTTCGGAAAAGCTGACACGGTAGCACCTTAACCCTGGTGTGGAAATACTGAGACAAACCAGCATCTAGCAAACACTGAAAAGTACAACATTATAATTAGAATAACATTTTTAATTAGAATGAGATGCAGGAAAATTACAAGCAAAGCTTGAGAAGAGAAAACACTGTAATTAAAAGGCAGTTAAAGACTTACTGCCAAAGCAAGCATCGACAGTAAAGGTAGGCAAGAGTGACAAATGAGCCAGATACGTCGTGGGAGGATGACGATGCAGAGAACCGGTGAGGCTGTGAGCGGATTGTTGAGCATAAAAGGCACTGGTAAGAGAAAAAGTGGTGGGATGAGGACTAACACGAGTGCCAGGTAAATTAATGAATAGTCATAACAGGTTATCTGTCGGTTTTTACATAAATAGAGTTCAGCAGCAAGTTCAGCAAATGTGAGCAAAATGAAAAGTGAGATTGCATGAGTAACATTGAAGTTCAAGCTGAAAAGCATTCAGTGAACAGCAGCAGGCAATCTCTTGTTTTGTTCTTGCCTTCTGCGTCACTTAACTGCCAACAGATTGGTTTGCTTTACTGCAAGCAAATGCTAATAGCAGCAAGTCACGGGATGACAGACTGTTTTATAGAGAACTTTGAATCTCCCCATCCCATAGCAGACTGCTCTCAAAAGCGTTGCCACTACATGACCCAGTTAATATATTTACTTCCCAAGAAGCTTTTCCTATTATGGCATTAAAAATTAAATTGATGCATCGCTTTTTGCAGGCTGTTAATTTACGATGTTAGTAATTTTCAGGCTTGTGATGCTAAAATGAATCTCTTATGGTACGTGTCCACAGGATCTGTTATTTCCATTCTTCCCATTCATTTTCTATGTCCTGCTCCAGGCTGCAGGCAAAACACACTCTGCTCAAATCGGTGAAATGAAACCTGTTTGCAGGCAGCATCATTCTGAATCTGAAGGAATAAAACACGACTAAGAGTCATGCTAGCAGCAGCATGCCAACAGGCTCACAATGACAATGCTAACATGCCGTTAGGCAGGTGTTCACCACCTTAGTTTAGAGTGGTAAAACGCTAAGGTGCTAGGTCAACAAAGTTATCACAATTCTTCCTGATTGGGGCATAACTGTGGGTACAAAATTAAATGCCAGTTCATCCTATAGATATTGAAATATTTCATTCAAAATCAAAAACATCAATCTCATGGTGGCGCTAGAGGAAGAGTCAGGGAATCATCAATGTCTGTAGGACACATTGTCTGTGCAAAGTTGTGTGCCAATCCATTTAATAAATACTGAGATATTTCGCTGGAAAAGATTCAATTTTGAAATGCCAGTGGTGTTTCCAAATTCTTCATCTTCTGGGGACCATGAATGTCATGGCAATCTATGGAACAGTCGTTGAGACATTTCAGTCAGAGCCAAAGTGACCAACTGACCAACATTGGCATCTCGCCATGCTGCTGGCATGGGTAAAAAGAAATAATCTCAACCATTTGAAAAAAAAAAAAAAAACTTGCTGAAGTAGAGAAACATCTCAACACAGGCAGCGTCATGAATCCATTTCAAAACAATATCACATCACCCTTGGGATGCCTATAATCACAAACACTGTTTCACAGCCCACTGCGGTGGCCTTTCTTCTGTGGAGACATGGAACACATCTCAGCATATGCCAGCATCATAGGCCATCTATTTTCTCAGTGATTGCCATGAGAGGATGACTCATTGGTCTGGCTGTGACACAATTCCTCCATCGCTCTCCGTTGGTGTCATGACTGTTCACATCCAACTAGCTTTTACAGCCATTTAAAAAGGTTAACCTCCTCTGGGTGTTGATGACATTGAGCAGACTACACAACAATGATGCTGTTGCTATTTAAAGCCCTGTCGCAATGTGTACTGAGGGAGCTGACTGACACAAGCTGACGTGAGTGAATACATTTGTAAGTAACGTTTTCCTCCTGACCCATAATCAAGTGTGTCTGGGCATACAGTATATTCAGTATATGTATAGAGATCTGTTGTAGTAGAAAAATATTCTTACTTCTGTATGAGGGCTGT